TCTTTCCTTAATCTCCCCCCCCCCCAGAAAAAAAGCACAATATTTTTTACTATTTGTAAAAAAATTGTAACATGTACCTTTGTAATGGGGTTCAGATTAAACAATTAGGCATCACAGAATAGCACAGTCATTAAACAAATCATCATAATAAAGGAAATAATGAAATGGTTCTGTTCAAAACTTTGCATACCCCTGACTGTTTGGGCTGATAGAGCTCCCACGTTTAAACTTCCCCAAATTCTAGCTTTTCAAGAGCATTTATCCAGCAGCTGCCCAAAGCACTTGGTTCCACCTAGTGGTCAGGAGGTAGAAAAACTGTCTGGTATTTTCAAGTTCAGGCGACCATATGACAAGAAAGAAGGAAGGGAAAGAAAAAAGAGGGGGGAGGAAGGTAGCGCTTAGAGGAGTGTTGTGCATGCCAACTGGAGGAGGCTTTTAATGTGGTGGATTATATTGGATAGGACTGTAAGGTTTTTCAGCTCAGAATCCTAATAAATCCCAATGAGATTCTGAACACGAGGCCACTGGAAAAAACATAGTTTTTTTATTCCTTTGATCAAAGTAATAAGCTGGGTGTCCCAATCTCTTGTCACACGCACGCACGCACGCTGTGAGACAGAGGAGAATGAACACGCCCTAATCAAAAAGGCTCTGCCTTTTATAACTAATACACTTTTTTTTTCTTAACATTGCAAGGTTCCTGCGCATCTAAAGATTTCTTCTGAATTTCCTTATCTACATGTTGCAATTCTGCACCTCTAAGCTCTGAATACACAATAGCTCAATAGCCGGCAATTAGCCCAGAAACTTGTTACTTCCAGGCAGAGAAGCAAAGGAATACATTTTAAAACCACGGCAGAGAAGCAAGAAGCGAAAAGCAAAGTGATACATTTAGATCCAAGGAGAAAAGGGGGTGGAAAAGTGCTGCTATATGTTGCAAGCTATAGTAGTAACATTTGTAAAGTAACAGAAAGCTTTTCTTTCTTTTTTTCTTGCTTTCTCTTCTTTTCTTTCACGTTTGTGTGTGTGTGTGTGTGTGTGTGTGTACTACAAAATAATATATATTTTTAAAAAGTATAACAAGAGGATCAAGAATCCATTTCTCCTACTTGCAATAGATAGCTATTTCCCCCTTTCTTCATGCCTTTCAGATAGACGTAGAAAGCGAAGTCTTGATGTTTTTAATTTTGATAAATGGATGCTATGCTAATGAGTTAGCTAATATTTTATATTGTTTTCATATATCAATTTGCAATAGATCTATGTTTTATTTTATTTTTTTAAAAAAACACATTTTGCATACCTCCCCCCTTCAATAGAATCCAATCCAATGGAAAGACAGTATATTTCAATAACTTATATGTCTAATAGTTGCTAAACTGATGGCTTAGTTAACATAGTCTCACAATAAGAAAATAGATACAGAGCAACCCCTCACCTTAAATTATAGGATGTCTCTAAGGTCAGGTACAGGTTCCTCAATGCATATTTAGCAGACTTGGAGCACTTTATTCTGAATTTCATTTCACCTATTAAGAAAGTTTTATTCCTTTCTTCCTTCTCACGGTCTTTTCCTTTCCTTTCCTTTCCTTTCCTTTCCTTTCCTTTCCTTTCCATTTATCCTTTCATGAACCTTCCCCATGTTCAGTCTTAAAGTTGTCATGGTTGGATACCCTTGTCCTAGAGCTTTAATAATTACTTGTTTCATTTTCCAGTGTCTTCAGCTCTGCCGAAGATGCAGATGGCTTGCCAAAATGTGTTTGCTCGAGGTGCTTTTGCCGCTTGTCCATCAGGTGAGAACTAATAACTTGTGGGAGAAGATCAGGAGCTAAGAGAAGAGGATTAGGTGAAAAGAAAAACTCTCTATCAAACCGTTTTCTCTGACATCTGCTAGACTTGTGTATGCATGGGTACAAAATGTAAACTAAGCAAGGCTGCTGCAGGAATCTGCTTAGCTTGGCATTTATATCATAATTGTTCCAAACACTCAAAGTGATGCAGATCTGCATAACCTTCATCTTTTTAAACTTTCTCTTCTTTTCCTTCTTCCTTTGTAGGATTTCTACCCACTTCATGTGCCTGTGGAATGGGTTGTGGATCTTGGGATATTCGTCAGGACTCAGTTTGTCACTGCCAATGTGCACGTATTGACTGGACTTCAGCCCGGTGCTGCAAAATATCTGTTGGCTCCTAAGCTGCTTTGATGGCAGGTTGGCTCCAGTTTCTGTGCACAATAAAAGTATGAATCAATAATTCCATGAATTGTTCTATACAACTTAAATTTCTATCCAGTGTGGAGCTGTAATCTTATAAATGGCTAACTGTTGAATTGTGTGTGTGTGTGTGTGTGTATCTGTGTCTGTGTGTCTGTGTTTGTGTCTCTGTGATCTCAAACTGGAAGCAAGTGCCTGTTTCTTTATCCTGTTGGAACCCTCTTACATACAGAATGACAAAAGTCAGTTTTGGCTCCTAACATGTTCTCCCCATATTCTTATTGTGGCTGGAAAAGGGAATTGTCTCAGTGGCTTGATTTCAAAAAAGCAAAGCTCACATGCACATGTCAAACTTCATCTTGAGAATTGGTTTCATGTTCATATTTATTTACATATAACCCAAATCAAGATGGCTATACTTTCTCTATTTTCTTTACATCTCTTCCCTCTTTGTAATAGTGGTGCACTCTTACCTCACTGAGAGCTTGGAACATTTTGTGTGTGTGCTGTTATCCCAAGTATGCAGACACTTCATCAGATAACCCAAAATAACCACTTCTAAAACAGAGGATGCTGCACTGGTTGTAAGTGTTAGGACTGGTCATAAGTCACTTTTTTAACATTATCATAACTTTGAATGGTTGATAAACTAATAGTCATATATCAAAGATTATCTGTAAATATTTTTAGTAGCAACTACCCATCTGTTGTGGTCTTGTCCAGAGACCATAGATTAGGAATTAGGTGTGATTGCTATACAGTATATCAATCTATAGGGAGGGCTGAAACCAGGCAAGAGGCACACATCTACAAAGAAGTGGGACTTGGATTGTGTTGTTGAAACTGCCATGGTGCCTGTTTGACCCTGCCCATCAGGGTTATTATTGCAGAATGTTGCCATAAGAGCCAAGGTGGTGCAGTGGTTAGAATGCAGTATTGCAGGCTAATTCTACTGACTGCCAGCAGTTTGATTCTCACTGGCTCAAGGTTGACTTAGCCTTCCATCCTTCTGAGATCGCTGGGAGAAATATGTTGACTGTGTAAACCACTTAGAGAGGGCTGTAAAGCACTATGAAGCGGTATAGAAGTCTAAATGCTATTGCTATAGCCAATAAGACACAAAGAGAAATAAACAATCCATGTTTCTTTCACTAACACTATACTAATCTTATGCTCTGTGTGGATGATTCCTATATTTCTATATATGCACATCAAACTATTTCCATATGGGGTTTAGTACATTATGCAGCATACAGAAAAGCCAAAAAAATGAAGGTGTTCTTCTTTTTTCTTCTTCTTCTTCTTCTTCTTCTTCTTCTTCTTCTTCTTCTTCTTCTTCTTCTTCTTCTTCTTCTTCTTCTTCTTCTTCTTCTTCTTCTTCTTCTTCTTCTTCTTCTTCTTCTTCTTCTTCTTCTTCTTCTTCTTCTTCTTCT